ACAGCTCTTCACAGGCTGCCCTGGGAAGCCTCCCTGTGTAACAGTATAATGGTAGAGTCAGTCCATAAATAAGAACATCTCCACCTTGTGACAGCCACCAGTCACCAGAGGCTGCACCCCAGCCTCTCTACCCCTGACTTTGTGGACAGTCATTGTAGTTTCTCAGAGTGCTTCTGTCTCCGTTAGGGTCACTATTGTTGTGCTGAGACACCGTGATCAAATCTTCTTTGGGAGGAAAGGGTTTATTTCACTCACAGGTCCATATAACAGTTCATTATCAAAAGTAGTAAGTGCAGGAGTTGATGCAGACGCCATGGAGGGTGCTGCTTCCTGGCTTGCTCCTCACGGATTAGTCAGCCTGCTTTATTGCAGAACCCAGGTCCACCTACCTACCCAGGGATGGCACCACCCACACAGGCTGGGCCCTCCCCCATCAATCACCAAAAAAATGCCCTAACGGGGGTGGTTGTGGCACATGCCTTTAATCCCAGCTCTCAGAAGGCAAAGACAGGCAATTCTCTGTGAGTTCGGGCCAGCCTGGTCTACAGACTGAGTTCCATGACAGCCAGGACTACACAGAAAAAAAGAGAGCTGGAGGATGAAAATTAAGGCCTGGGATGTGGCTCAGCAGTAGAGCCTGCAAGACCCAGGTCAGAAGCTAAGGGTTCACTAATAGACAGGAAACGCAAGCTTGTGGGCGTGGTTTACCACGAAGAGTGAAGCCTGCCCACCATTTGTGACTTACAGTGTTCTTAAACACTGAGCCGGGAGCGTCTCCTAGAACTCTTCTGTGCACACCAGGTTTTGTTTCCGCCACCCTTGCTGCTTTTGCTCTTCAGCTGGGGAGAAACGGCATGAAACTCCAGGTTTCTGACTGCTTTTGAAAGCTGAGGCAATCTGGTAATCTCACCTCTCAGATGATGGGGTGCCTGAGACCCACTTTGAGGACCACGCCCCTGCTGTGCCGTTCACAATGGGCCCCTCCCCTTTCGCCTTCCCTGTTTTCCTCCCTGGGGTCTGGCCTTTCCCCCTGTCTCCCAAGTGTCTCAAGGAATGCTCCTGTACCCCCTCAACCGTGGGCACCCACAGGAAATAGGCCATCTTGATCCCTCCCCTCCCTCTTGGACTTTTTTCTTCCCGTCTCAGAGGCTGATGTCTCCTGTTTGTTTTTCCCTGAAGTTCACTCTGCACCTCTAAACATGTTAGGAAACACCCACTACGTGACTTATTCCTCGTTAGGCAAGCACTGTGGGGGAGGAGGGGGGTCTTTGACCAGAGTGGCTAGCTTTAGAGACTGGTGCTTAGATTAAGAATGGCTACCATAGGCTCCTATATTTGAATGCTTGCTCATCAGGAAGTGACTCCACTTGAGAGGGATTTAAAAGGTTTGGCCTTGATGGAGTAGGTGTGGCTTTTAAAAGCCCAAGAGTCTCTAAGCCTGTTGACTTCGGATCGATACCATGTATGCTACCCTCGTGCCACCGTGCTCCCGCCTTGAGGACAGTGGACTAACCCTGAAACTATAAACCAGCCCAAATGAAATGCTCTCTTTTTATTAGAGTTGCTGTGCTCAGCAATAGAACACTAAGAGACCAAGGGACAGAGAAGTTACTCTAAGCCAGGTGCTCAACCCACCCCAGCCCTGTGCTATCTCAATTAAAGTCAGTCCTGCCGGCAGGAAGAGGAGGCAGCATCCCTGGGATACCGAGCAGCTCCAGCCACAGATGGTGAAGGCTTTCTCCCCTTCTTCTCCAGCAGGGAGTTTCATTCAAGGGAGAGACAGAGAGAAATGATTCTGGGGAGTGTTAGAAATTGGAGCTCCTTCCCTGTTCGCCTGTGGAGCAGGGTGCATGCTTCATCTCCGGTCAACATGACACCATCGCCAAACAGTGCCAGAGCATCCCGGGCAGGAGTGTGGCTAAGGGACACAGCTGCGAGCAGCACAGGTGGCCGTACACTCTGGAACTGACAACCTGGCGGTGGAGGCAGTCGGCAAACAGATCCCACACAAAAGAGATTCAGTTGGTGACAACTGCTAAGAAAAATGGGAAGAAAGTGGACTGGGTGACAGGCCTGGCAGGTAGATTAGGTTGGAAGCGCCCCAGAAAGGTGAGGAAGGCCACACAGGTGTTTTGGCAGTAGCCAGGGGCCAGATCTGGTGGCTTGTGGCCAGGAGAAGGAGTTTGGGTTTCCTTCAGAAGCAATATGGAGTCCTGGGGGTTTGGGGGGGGGGTGCTTGTGGAGGAGGCACTAAGATTGGACATGAGTGTCTGTTAATGACTACAGTTACTGGAAACATTCCTTTGGCAGCTTTTCCCCTGAATCTTTTGGGGCTCTGGTTTTCTCTTGTCATTTTCCCTTTCTTCCTGGCAGGGGAGCAGGATCAAGTAGGCTGTAGAGCAAGTGGGCAGTAAGCCTGCCCTCTGTGCAATTCCATCAGATCACAGGAAATACAGGACAAGGGGAACACGTTAGACAGAATCACGGGGATCCCGAGGGTGGCCACCACACCGGACAGGACTCTGGTCCTTCCTCAAGCGTTGCAGTAGGACAAAGGAAGGTAGCTGTGACGGAGTGGGTGAGACAGGAAGAGCATCCGCCAGAGCAGACCGACTCAACAGAAGACCCTGTGAGATAACAGAGACCAGGACCTGAGTGAGACAGTGCCACTGGGCAATAAAGAGTTCCTGTGAGCTCTGGTGGATATGAAATGAGATCATGGTATTCCTTCCTCCCTTCCTCCCTCCCTCCCTCCCTCCCTCCTTCCCTTCCTTCCTTCCTTCCTTCCTTCCTTCCTTTCTCCTTTCCTCTCAAGATCTTATCTGCCAGAGACCTGAATTGAAAGTATTTATGGCTGAAATGACCTGGTAGCTGGTGTTCTGTCTCAGTGGCAGAGCACTCAATAGACTCATGGAGATTGATGCCATCTCCAGGAGTGCAGGAAGTGAAAATAAAATATTTTTAAAAACAAAGAGGGAGCTGGGCGTTTGACGCACACCTTTAATCCCAGTCCTTGGGAGGCAGAGGCAGGCAGAGCTCTGTGAGTTTGAGGCCAGCCTGGTCTACAGAGTGAGTTCCAGGACAGCCTCCAAAGCTATTCAGAGAAACCCTGTCTCCAAAAACAAAACAAAAAAAGTGCTTTAAACAAAACAAAACAAAACAAAGAGGGGCCGGCAAGACGGCTCAGTGAATGAAGGCACCTGCCGCCAAGTCTGATGGCCTGAGTTCAGTTCCCAGAACCTACGTGTGGAAAGAGAGAACCAACTCTGTCACCCTGCGTTCAGTCCCTAAGGATCCACATGGTAGAAGGAGAACCATTTCCATCCTCCCACAGACCATTGTAACCTCTACACATGCTCTCTAGTATTCAAGAGCAAACACACACAATAAATGTTTCTAATACAGCAATGAAGGGAAAAAATGTCTGGGAATGTAGCTCAGTGGCAGAGTGCTTGCCTGGCATGCATAGGCCTTGGGTTCAATCCCCAGGACCACAAAAACAGAATGGCTGGATGAATGGATGAAACAGAAAGGGCAAGGAGTTAACGGAGGTGGAGCTGTGATGGGATGGCCATCACAGTCCTTTCTCTGCTTTGAAAAAAAAAAAAAAAAAAACTCTGGCTGCACATAGTGGTGCCCTCCTATAATCCCAACACTCGGGAGGAAGAGGGGGGAGAATCTCTACAAGTTTAAAACCACACAGCAGGACCTTGTCTGAGGAAGGAAGGGGAGGGCGGGCAGGCGGGCTCACTCCATAATAATCTTTTCCAATGAGTAAAGCTGGGTCCTCTCCCAAAACAGCCCCATCGCCTGCCTTTTGGGAAATAGTGTATACTGGGCGTGGCTCACTCTTCCTTCTCTTTTCTTGCAGCATGGCTGGGAAGATGCCTGCCCCACCCACACAGCATGGCCTGCAGCCAATGCTCT